TAGTGGTCTTCTTCCCTTTTTGCGATCATCTCACACGGAAGATATATTCGCTACCTCTCATCCCATCCCCTCTACACCGGTTTCTCGCCGTTCGCTGGGCCTTCGCTAAATTCAGTACGATCCACGTTTTCTTTTCGAATTTTTGACGGTATCCATTGAGGCGCTTATGAGCTTTTGTTTTAAATATTGCAATTTATTTAACTAAGGTTACTCGTAACTTCAGATATAATACACTAAGTGTTTGGGATTATGCGTCTTCCGCTCCATATGTGGAAATAAATGTCAACGGTACTCATCCGGTTGACGCAGTGTTCTTTTCTGGGCACAAATTCGTGGGCGGGGTCTCTACACCAGGTAAGTTCTTTTCGAATATTTCGAACTCATCAAGTATTCTCTTGGTTTTTTCTTTTACCGTTCTCATTACCTCACAGTCTTTATTGCTATATGTTAAATGGCGCATAGGAATTTTTCTGAATCCAATGTGGGTGAATTTTGTCTCAAAATCAACAAAGTCTCTATTTTGGTACAACCTTTGTGGCATGCTAGTCAGTCTGTATTGTAAACAGATCAAGAGCATATTCTAGCAGTTAAGTGCTTGGACGCCACCCCACGGGTGCGTGGCGCACGCCAAATGGTTGGACTTCTTTTAGATTTTCTTTCTTAATGACTAACCCTGAGAAATGCAATTCTTTTTAGATATTTTTCACTCTAAAGATTCCTTAGCTCTTCCTATTTCAGGTGTTCTCGTTGTTAAAAAGTCGCTAATAAAAGCGACGGTTCCGAAGCGAATCGGTGGAGGAACAGTGTTCTTTGTGGGTATTATACTTCTAGATTTCTAGGTTTGTTGTCATTAGTGATGAAAGCTGGTTTTACAGGTTTCGTCGTCAGGTGAATGGTACCTAAAGGATGCGGAATATCGTGAGGAAGGCGGTACCCCAGATAGCGTTGGAATTATTCGCTTAGCTCTGGCAGTGAAGTTGAAGAGGGCGGTGGGAGAGCGCACCATAGTCACTTTGGAAAGACAAAAAGTCAGAGTGGGTTCAGTCGTTCCATTTCTTTGAGTGGGCGTTCCACTATTCAGGTGTTTTTACGTATTCTTCGAAGTTTTCTCAGAACATCACTCACAAAAATGAGTAAGGTGTCAAAAAATATTAGCCATCAAACCACTACCCTTTACAAGTCTTCCTTCCCAAACCTCTTGGTGGTCGATGGTGTTAATAGTGTTGCGGACCTGTTACCATTTGAC